TGCCTTTGCTCTTGGTCTGACAGGGATCTTTCCACCAGCTCCACTCTTCGAAGTCACCCCCGATGTCGGGGCATTTCTTCGAGTCCGCCGCCTCCAAAGGCCTTCGGGTTGTTTTCCGTTTGGGCTATTCTAAATAGTGCTGCCACAGATATTCTCATACACATCTTTCAATGAGCATAAATACGGATTTCTGCTGGATAGATATGCTCATGTATGGAATCGTAGAGTCAGAGTGAATGTTCATGCTGTAGGGTATAATGCCAAAACATTTTTGCGAGCGATCGAACCAATTTACATCTCCCTGTATGAACACCTAGCTGTTTGACATCCTTGATAACACCTGGTATTATTTGCCTTTTATTACTTTATTTTTATGTGTTAACCTGCTGGGCCATGGTAACCCAGATGTGTGGTCAACTCTCATTCTGTGTTTCTGTAATGTTTCTGTGAGGGTATTTGTGGTTGAGATTAAAATTTAATTTGATAGACTCCGAGGAAAGCAAATTGTCCTCTATGATGTGGGTGGGCCTTATCTAACTGAAGACACAGATAAAGCAAAAGCCTGACCTCCCGACAGATGGCCCTCACGCCTGACCTGTAACATCAGCCCTTTCGGGTCACCAGCCTACTGCCCACTCTGCAGACTTTGGTCTTGCCAGCCTCCATAATTGCCTAAGCCAATTCCTCAAATAAATCTGCATCTCATACACATACGTCCACTGGCTCTAATTCTCTGGAGAACTCTGTGGACACAGTTTTTTTAGGTATATGCAATATAAATATTTGCCTTGTACTGGTGGCTAGTAATGAACAAAAGTTTCCAATATTTGTGAAGTCTAATGTATATGTATACGTTTTCTTTTGTGGCAACTGCTTTTTGTGCTCTTTTTTAGAAATTCTTGTGTACTCTGAAGTCATGAAGAAATTATCCTGTTATCTTTCAGAAGCATTGCCTTACCTTTCGCTTAAAATATACGCTTCATCTGATTGAATTTTCTGTGTTTTAGTTCATTTATTTCCATATTGATATCCAATTGAGCCACCAATTTATTTAATTTTAGTTTATTGAAGAGAACGGTCTTTCCCCCAGTGCACTGTAGGGTCACCTTTTTTTTTTTTTAAGTCAAACGACTGTATGCATGGGTCCGTTTAAGGTGTGTTCTTCTGCCCCACTGGCTTAGTGACCCACCCGAGATTAAGTGCCGCGCCGCACCGCCCCGACTGCCGTGGCTTTGTAAGAGGAGTTTCTTTCCTTTCAGAAAGCTTTGATTCGTGGAGTCTAACATACATTCACAAGCACATGGCTTGCAGTTCAGATCTTGTTGGAAGCAGCAATGCTGATACTCCTCAAATGTTCCTGGAACTTGGGGGGTTTCCTCTTCCTGAAAGCGTGTGACCACCTTTTCATCTTCCTGCACGTATTTGATCTGCATCTTGCAGATGCTAAAGCCGAGGGGTCACTAGTGTGCAGCTGCCCAGGTCAGCCAGTGTGGCTGGACGGAGCACACGAGCCCCAGCTGTGCCGCCAGGGCATCACCATTCCAGGGCTGATGTGTAGGAGGATGGAGGACCTGAACGCCCACATGGGCTTTTCGACCTTCTCCGCATATTGCCCCCCGTAGCTCTTTCTGCGTGCAGATGGCAGGCAGGTGCCAGACAACCACATTTTTATTAACTCTCGAGTCTTCTAAGCCCTGTGTCATCTAAACCCTGTGGCTCTGATATTTTAGGATTGACTGAAATGCTTCTACTATGAGAGTGGCCAGGACCGGGAGTGACGCCAGCGGGGACGGTGTGGCTGAGAATTGCCAACAGGCAGGTCCCGGCCGCTCTCTCTGCTCCCAGTGCCCGGTTCCCAGCAGTGGCGGTCGCCTTGCGCTGCAGGGGACAGTGGAGCTGCAGCGGCGCCCGCAGACTCTGAGCCTAAAAGACAAAGTTCTCCAGCTTTCGTGTTCAAGAACTGTGGCACACAGCCTCAGGTCCTACGCAGCAATAGCACGATTGCCAGGAATTCTAAAAAAAGGTGGAAAATAAAAAACCAAAAACCACAGCGCGCGGCCTCCCCGTCGGGGAATCGAACCCCGGTCTCCCGCGTGACAGGCGGGGATACTCACCACTATACTAACGAGGAGGAGCTGACCAGCATCTTTACTGATTCCGTGGAATCTCTCAACGACCCGATACCACGACCCAAGAAAGGGACCCTTGGCGGAGGGAAGAAAGTGCCAACCGCTGTTTTGCAAACAGACTTCCGGGGGATCTTCCCGGACAGGACAGAGATCTGGCTATGCCCACTGCGGCACCTGCTTATAAATTAGAGTAGTGGCCGCTCCCTCCCCACTGCTGTGGGGCTCTCGCCTGGAATATCTTGCCGGGGGGGTAGCGGGTGGGGTGAGAGACCCCATAGTCCGCAGGATTGGAACCGGCGCGGAAGACCTCAGTGGATTTTAGTTCATCACCTTAACCATTCCGCCACGAGTACAAAAATTTGGATGAGGTTTTTCAAGTTAGAGACAAGACCGAGTATAAACCAGGGTAACCACTGCCCGCTGCATAAAGCGAACGGGCTTTGCGCAAGAACACAACCTTCAGGCAAAATGAGGGTTCAGCAAAAACACTTAAACGCCTACGTCTCCTGCCTCCCTGACAGGGCTATATCTTAAATTTCTGTGAATTTCCATCTTTTTTCTGTTTAGTTTTATAAGAAACTGCCAAAATATCTTCCAAAGTGGCTATATCACTTTACACTTCCACTGGCAATGGATCAGAGATGTATTCTTTCTCAAACTCAGGAAATTGTTCATCTTTCTACTAGGGAGTCTAGATTAAAAGTGAGAGTTTGGGACCAAATTACTAAATCCAAGTCCCAGCGGCCCCATTTACTGGCGACGTGACCTTCGGCTAGCCATTCGACTTATCTGTGCCTCAGTTTCCTTCGTTGTAAAGTAGAATTAAATAGATGTGAAGCACGAGAACGCTGCCTGGCATACGCAGTGTCAAATGATAGCCGATTTCATGTGGTCTCTCCTTCCTGATGCCGCATGTTGGCTTTCCATCCTGTCTTTTACATCTGTCTCTCATTTTCTTTTGAGTCATGGAGGAGCTTTAAAAGAATATCCTGTACATAACTTATTCACCTTCCACAGCATCGGTTCAGTTCTTCTTCAGTATAACTTTATGTAGCTGCATCTTAAATATGTTTGCTATGTGTTTTTACTCCTTTTCATCTAGTGTCGTTTTACTTTGGCATGTACCCTCACAGCTCTTTCCTGTTTTAGGCCCTGTTTTCTTGTAATCTACCGAGAATACCAAATTGTTTCCTTTTTCTGGTTCCTACAGCTCTTTTCTGAAATCTGCAGTTAGAGACTTCTATATATTGCTCCCTTTTCTTTGCCTGTAGCTTTGTTTTCATACACGCAACATTAAGCTTCCAAGTTTAGTTTCATCAACCAACAGGCTGAGTGACTTGATCTTGGCCACTCCATGCTGGGGACGCACAGCAAAGTGCGTGGGCCACATATTAAAAAATATAAAAACCTACTGACTTACGTTGGATTCTTTTCTGCCAAGGGCACACTGAGACCGGCGCTGGGCTCCTGCGCAGGTACGCGCTGGCTCACGCAGGTGGGTGTACACGGTGCACTAGTCGGGCAAGACGTGGTAACGCCACTTCCCGGATTCCTGCAGCATTTTTTAAAATGTGGGTTGCGACCTATTTGAGAGTCATGAAAGCAATATAGTGGGTCGGAACCAGAATATTTAAATTAGAATACTAGTCCTTTGAGTAGAGTGCAGAACAGGTGATAAGGTACGTGACGCACCGTGACGCGCTTGTGTGCTTTTCTAAATCACGTGTGTGTGTGTAAACGTCTATCTCTTACTACCAGTCCCGGCACAGAAGCTCGAGCGTCGGCTGCCAACGCACACCTCCACCTGGGTCGGTCAGGAGCGCAGGACCCGGCCGCGCCGGGCAGCCGCGGCCTCTGGGACATGGAGCCCGGAGC